GAGAGAGAGAGAGAGAGAGAGAGAATGTAATAACATTTTTCTATTATTGTATTGATAATATGTAGACCGCAAGACCTCGGTTAAGGTCAGGGGGACAGCAATGGCAATACAATGACATACTATTGATATACTATTGATCTATATTTTATGTGTACAGTTCTGTAGTGTTGTAGTTATATATAGCTTTCCCGTGATATAATATTTTACAACTTAAATATTTATTTAAACTAATCTGTTACAAATAACTTATATCATATATATTTAAATATAAAATACATATATATTTATCCTGTACTATAAAACTATTATGCAGTCAATACATAGTTTATGGCAATACAATTATCATTTATGTTATTGTGATAACAATTTAATCAAAGCTTATGTTTAAGAAGAAAACATTCCGCAAATAAAAGGAATTGTTTGAATTTTAATAATAATATATAACACAATAATAATAACATTGAAGGCAATGGCCATACCTTATCCGTATGAGTGGCCGCAACAATACATGGATTAATGCCATCAAACTTCCCAATTGATACCTTTTTAGGCAATATTTTCTCATTTAGTTTAACCGTGAATACCGTTTTAAGCATTGATTCAATGGATATATTTAATATATTTACACAGAATGACAAAAATATTAACAATTTTCTCAATTCTGTTCATTATATAAATTTTATAAAAATCTTTATGACTATTTTTACAAACCAAATTGTATATTACCTATAGATATAACTTATATGCCATATTAAGACAAAACAAAACAAAGAGAGGGGCAAACCGTATCCATTCACAAGTAGAGATACTGTTGTTAATCACAGATTTTATTTAATATAAGAGCAAAAATAACACTATAAAGAGATTTGAAAATAAAACAAAAAGTTACTTTAACAAAAAAGCCACAGAAAGGATAATTTAACTATAAAATTTATTGAAGAAATGTTTGCATTTCTTTCGTTTAGTGAATATTATTTAAGGAAAAACAATTGTTTTGCAATTTAAAACGATTTATGTTTTAAAATATATTTATATTGCACTCAATGTTTGACATTTTGATTAAAATTTTAATTTAAACCAGTCTTTTGAATTATGTGCAAATCTTTTCACTCAATTTAATTTTAATTTTTAAAACTAAATAATATAATCATCTATTATTTAATAACTTAACACTAATTATATAACAAATACTGTATTATAATTGGTTCTCAGAACTAGAAATCAATTCAAATCAGATTAAATGCTAACCCATTATAACAATATATTAGCATTCATTTGAATTTATATCAAAAACAAATTCTAATCAAATCTTAGTTTATGAATGAATGAGAAATAGGGGAGAGAGACAAAACAAAACAGAATTATACCGTATATTCAATATAGATATCCATTATATGTTAAACCAAACATTTTTATCAGTATTTCTAAAAATATTTTAAATATATTACTTGAG